CAGCACGATTGTGCACGGCGCTACGGCGAGAACCACCAGTTGAAAACTACCAGCCCCCTTTCCGTGTAAGCATTCATGATCATAAACTGCAATGAGCGGCGTGATGAAACGCCCGCCGCAGCCTGCGCACACCTCTGGTGGTGCGACAGGGGGAGTTGCTTATAAGGAAAAGGGGCTTGAGGAGGAAGAGGAAGAGGAGGAGGAGGACCAGTGTAAACCCAAGAGCCACCAACGATGTTGGAATCAACCCTTCCCCCAAGCTCCCTCTCCACAAGTCCCGACAAAGGTCCGTTTCCATTGAAGGAATTGCCTCGTTGGGAGACAACCGTGAAGACCTTGAAGCAAGCCAAAACATTGTTCTCGGGATTTCCGTCACGGATCAACCTGGCTGCTGCGTCCTGACGATCTGGAATCGTGCCAGAACACAATGTTTGTGACTTCCGCACCGCGATCCAACATAACTGTTGCACCCGCGTAACCCTTATACCTTCGAACGCACCATTTCTGGTACGTTGATCATGGGGATCCGTGAATCTCTTGATCCTGTTCGAAACGAATGTACGCGGCGTCAAAGCGAGAAACACATTTTGAAAAGGAACCGCCCCCAATCCGTGATTAAACACATAATTAAAAACAAATGTGCGCGGCGCTAAAGCGAGTGAAGCTCTTGCATTAATGGTATATGTGTACATATATTTATGTAGATGTAAAAAATGCGCGCAGCGCTGAGACGACAACCACATTTTGCAAAGGACCCGCCCTCAACCCGTGAACGTCTTGCAATTGTTTAAAGAATGCGCGAGGCGCTAAAGCGAGAACCACATTTTGAAAACGACCCGCCCTCAATCCGTGAAACTCTTGCATTTTTTTTATTTTTTAAACTAGAAAAAACGAATGTGCGCGGCGTTAAAGCGAGAACCACATTTTGAAAACCACCCGCCCTCAATCCGTGAAGCTCTTGCAATTTTTCAGAAAGAATGTGCGCGGCGCTCAAGCGAGAGCCACATTTTGAAAACGACCCGCCGTCCATCTGTGAAACTGCTGCCATTTTTGAAGCTTCAGAACCATCAGTGGTGAGGACGTCTCAGGCGAAACGCCCGGCCCGCCCTAAAAACTGACCTCGGGGTGCGACAGAGAAAAAATATTTGTAAGGAAAAGGAATGAATAAGGAGGAGGAAGAGGAGGAGGAGGAGGAGGAGGAGGAGGAGGAGGAGAAGGAGGAGGAGGAGGAGGAGGAGGAGGAGGAGGAGGAGAGTCCTCCCCTCCTCCTCGCTCCCCTTGCCGTCCGAGTTGTCCTGGATTGTGATCGAAGCGCCTCCGGGGGCCGTCACGTTCTCCGCGGCGAGCGTCATGACGCCGTTCTTTTCCACCTTCGACACCGTGAACTCCACCTGCACGTCCTCTTCCTCCCCCTCCTTCTTCTTCTCCTCCTCCTCCTCCTCTTCCTCCCCACCTCTTCGTAGTCCTCGTCCTCCCCACCTCCTCGTCTCCTCCTCTTCTCCCCCCTTCTCTTCCTCCTCCACGTTCTCGCACTCGGATGTCCGAAGGCCACAGAGAGAGGGCCCGAACTCGTCCAGGAGCACCAGGAGAACGCTTCACGCCCCCCCCCCCCTTCAGAGCTTCCCAAAACCGAGGCCGCAACCTCCAGGACCAGCCTCCCGAATCTTCATGGAGGAGGGACAGCATCCCCAGAAGGACACACTGCATAATCAAGAACATATTGAGCTGGTCAAGCAGAACCATTTGGAACTCATCCCTAGGACAAGAAGAACCAACTGCATAAACAAAACCGTTCAGTCATCATTCCATGAAGGGGAACAACCACTGCAACCAGAGGACATCATTCCTAGAGAGGAAGGAACAGACACACACTCACACACAGTCACACAGAAACACACAGAACACAGAAACATACAAACACACACACACACACACACACACGCAACCACACACACACACTCAGACAGACAGGCAGACACAGACAGACAGACCTACAGACAGAGAGGCAGACAGCAGGCAGGCAGGCAAGCAGACACACAGACACACAGACACGGAGACACGGAGACACGGAGGCACACAGACAGACACACAGACACATACACACACACACACACTGCATAAACAGAACCTTTGAGAGGTCCACGCAGATTTCTTGGGTCGGCGCTGGACACCCATCTCTGGCCACCCATCTCTGGCGCGCGGAGCGCGCCGAGGGCGGCGCTGGAGGCGCCGCGAGGGGGGTCCAGCGCAGATCCAAGACATCTGCGCGGACCTCCGAAAGGTTATGCTCATGCTGCTGTTTCCTCTTCGCATTCCCACAGATCCCTCCTCCCTACTGCTTTTTCCTCTTCGCGTTCCCGTAGATCCCTCCTCCGTGCTTCATTTTCCTCTTCGCATTTCCACAGATCCCTCCTCCTTCCTTACTCCTCCTCGAGGACCTGCATGTCCTTCACCAGGCCCGGGTAGCGATCCGTGGAGCGCAGATTCTTCCAGTGCACGAACACCTGTAGGGAGCTGCCAAGTGCATGCTGCCAACAAACTTGGCCAGGTCCCCGGTAGAATTGCGGGCGTCGGCAAAGCGGCGGAGGGACGAGGGAGGAGGAAGAAGGGAGCTACGAAGCCTTTGGCCACGCCCCTCATGGGTTCAATATTGGTGTGCGCACTACTCGTACGGTCGAGGCCATGCTCGGGAAGAGGTTGATCTGAGGAGGCGGGGCGAGGGTCGAGGACCAACATGTTTCAACGTCTGTCGCCGTTTGAGGGCTTCCAGGGGACCTCAAGAGGAGGAAGACGCACGGAACAGTTGTCCTGCGAAAGCTTGAGCAAATGCTGGGCCAACCCTGCCCGTGAGGCGTCAGGCAGGCCCAGCTTGTAGGAAATTGCTGAAGGTGCGCTGCGCCATGCAAACGATGAAAGATCTCTGAATGATCGGTTGCTCAGCAGGTTCATCCGCCTGCCCCCCCTTGTCAGGGCGACCAGACTGCAAAGACCAATATTTCAACAACTGCACAACTCAACCTTCATACGTGCAATTCATGAGATGAGTCTTTAACGGGTCCGAGCAGCAACAAACTAGTGTTTCGCGCTCTCGAGGTTACGGTCCCTCGTGCAATCTGATAGATCCGCTCTCCCAAGGGCCACGTGAACAGACAAGGGTATGAGCTCTCGAGGCCCCGACCCGTCGCAACATAAACAGATCCGCCGTCCCCACCACTGTTCCACTGTCCCCACTGTCCCCACCACTGTCCCCACTATCCCCACCAATGCCCCCACCACCGTCGCACTGTCCCCACTGTCCCCGGCCACTGCCTCCACCCCGGTCCCACTCTCCCCATTGTCCCCACTGTCCCCACCACTGTCCCACGGCCCCCACTGTCCCCACCACTCTCCCACCGTCCCACTGTCCCCACTATCCCCGCCGCTGTCCTACTGAGCTGTCTTATTGTTCCCACCGCTGTCTCACTGTCCCCACCACTCTCCCAAGTGTACCACTGTCCCATTGTCCCACCACCGTCCTCACCGCCGCCCTCACCACTGTTTTCATAACCACCGTCTTTATTACTGTCTCACTGTTCCCACCACTGTCCCAGTGTCCCCTCACCTCTGTCCCCATCACCACCGTCCCCACCACTGTCCCACTGTCCCCACTGTCCCCACCACTGTCCCACTGTCCCCACTGTCCCCACCACTGTCCCACCACTGTCGCACTGTGCCCACTGTCCCCGCCACTGTCTCCACCACGATCCCACTCTACCCACTGTCCCAACTGTCCCCACCACTGTCCCACTGTCCCCACTGTCCCCACTGCTGTCCAACTGTTCCCACTGTCCCCACAGCTGTCCCACTGTGCTGCCCCAATGTCCACACTGTCCTAACCACTGCCCCACTGTCCCCACCACTCTCCCCACTGTGCCACTGTCCCACCACCGTCCTAACCACCGCCGTCACCACTGTCCCCACCATCACCACCAACCACACCACTGTCCCACTGCTGTCCCCACCACCACTGTCCCCACCACTGTTTTACTGCTGTCCCCACTCGCATCGTTCTTATCACTGTCTAACTGTCCCCAGTGTCTATTGTGCCCACCACTGTCCCACTGTCCGGATAGTTCTCATTACTGTCCCCACTGTCCTCGCCAGAGACCCCATCACTGTCGTACTGCCCCTACTGTTTCTACCACTGTGGTCCCACTCTTTTTACCGTTTTCACTCTCCACCACTATCCCCGTTATCGTCTTAAGCACTGTTCCCACCAGTCCCCCATCCGGAGTGGGAGAAGAGGGGGAGTCGTTGCGGCGAGGGAGGAGCAGGGGGGGAGGGGGGAGGGTGGGGGGGGTTCGAACCAATAGTGACCAACCTGGAGGGGGGGGGGTTCGAGCCGGTCGGTAGTGACCCCCCCCTTTTCATGATGGACGGGGGAGGCGGGGGGGCTGGAACCCCCAGTGACCCCCCCTCGGTTTTCGAGCTTTCTTTTGCCAAAGCAATCCTCGCGGCCATGCTTGGTTAATCTATCCTCTGGTGTGATGTGGTCTGATCACAACGAAAACTGCCTGGTTAATATATCCTCTGGTGTGATGTGGTCTGATCACAACGAACACTGCCAGGACACTAGGTTCAGTCGGCTTGGTTGCTGGGTTTTGTCTGGTAGCCTTGAGCCGGCTTTTCGAGGGGGGGGGGGGGGGGGCGGGCTGGAAACCCCCAGTGACCCCCCCCGGTTTTCTGCCAGCAGCGGTGGAGCACCCGCTCCTTCCGAGGCGACGACCCCCTGCGCAGCAGCAGATCGGCGCGGGGTCCGCGCCCCCGAGGCCAAGACCCGATGTGAGCAAAGGGATCCGCGAACAGTGGAACGAAGAATTACATATAGTCAGTCAGTCTAGTGTTAAGTCGGGCCTGTCCCCCCACAGGGGGATATTGAACGAAAGAAAGATACTCAAACATATTCAATATATGCTCCAAAATTATCAAAAAATCGTACCCATACTATTTTTAACTATTTTTGAATATTCCCCCTGTAGATGGACAGGCCCGACTTTGGTGTAGTAAGGATGCGCGGTAAAGATGCAAGGGCCTTGGAACGCCATGTTGACGTTTTCCGCGCGGAGCGCAGCATAATGCCAAAGTATGCCGAGTACCGAAGGGGCAAGGATGCACGGGTAGCCTTGGAAAGTTGCCCCACCCTTACTATCATGGTTGAGTGTAGACATAAGAGCTCGGAGGTCCGCGCGGATTTCTCGGATCCGCGACCCCCCTGAGGCGCCGCCCCTGGCGCGCCCCGCGCGCCAGGGAGGGGGGTCCAGCGCGGATCCACGAAATCCGCGCGGACCTCGGAGTTTTTATGCTTATGCCATTTTTCGTTCCCGCAGCGATCCCGAGGCCACCATCCCTCGTGAAAGCGATGCATCTACGCTCCCCGGGGCCGCGATCCTTCTAAGAAGCGACGAATGCGCGCTCCAGCGGCCACCATCCCTCGTCCGCAAACGCTTGATACGCGCTCCGGTGCCGCCAGCCGCCTGGCCAGCCTTCCAACCAACCAGCTTGCAAGCCTTCCCACCTGCCTTTCAGCCAATAGGCCAGCTAGCCAACCTGCCAAGTGTCCATCAAGACAGCGAGGCCCGCCTGCCAACCAATCGGCAAACCAACCAACAAACCCCATCGACCCAGCCTCGCAGGCAGTCAGAGGGGGGGAGCCAGCAGCAGAGGGTGATGCCCTTCAGACAATTATCACTTCCTACAACAAGCTTCTTACTGGAGGAGCACCAAGGCCAGGCGCAAGTGGGGTGGCTGCTTAACTAGGGGAACAAAAAATTGCATAAACATAACAACTCGGAGGTCCGTGCGGATTTCTCGGATCCGCGCTGGACCCCCTGGCGGCACCAAGGAGGGGGGTCCAGCGCCGATCCCAGAAATCCGCGCGGACCTGCGAGTTCTGATGTTTATGTAATCCCACCAGCCCTTTGGGCGTGAGTGGTTTAGAGAGCCCGCTCTGTCCTCAACCCCCCTTCTTCCCCTTCGGGGAGGGGTTTACCCCTCCCCCTACCCCCTCCCCCTGGACCTGGAGAGGGAGTTCCGCGGGTCGTCAGGGGGGTCTTTTTCGACGTCTGGGAGGGCCAAAAAACGACGACCCTCACGAGGATTCTGGCCCCGAGGGGGGGCGGGGAGTTTGGTGCCTCAGCTCGTCTTTGAAGCCAAAATCATTGATTTTACTACGGTTTTGGCCCCATTTTGGCCTCCTGAGGGGGCCGCGCTCATCTTCCTTCATAGCAAAATCATTGATTTTACGAAGGTTTTGGGCTCATTTTGTCCTTCTCAGGGGGCAGCTCTCATTTGCGCTTCAAAGGAGGTCGCAAGAGGCCCCAAGATGGCCCCAAGAGGCCCCCAGGAGGCTCCCAAGAGGCCTCCAAGAGGCCCCCAAGAGGCCCCCAAGAGGCCCCAAGAGGCCCCCAAGAGGCCCCCAAGAGGCCCCCAAGAGGCCCCAAGAGGCCCCAAGAGGCCCCCAAGAGGCCCCCAAGAGGCCCCCAAGAGGCCCCCAAGAGGCCCCAAGAGGCTCCAAGAGGCCCCCAAGAGGCCCCACGAGGAGCCCGAACGACTCACACCAGGACGAGGGGCCCGAACGACTCACACCACGAAGAGCCCGAACGACTCACACCACAAGGAGGGGCCCGAACGACTCACACCAGGACGAGGCGCCCGAACGACTCACACCACGAGGAGCCCGAACGACTCACACACGAGGAGCGCTTTCTCTCCCTCCTCCTCCGCCTCGTCCTTCTCCCGCTCCCCCCACAAGGAGGATGTACAAGGAGGCGGAAGGAAGGAGGAACAGGGGAGATATGCGGGGCCAAGCGGACACACGCCTGAAAAACACGACTGTCGGCATGCTTCGCAAGAGTTGCTGCTGTGAGATGGGCTGGTGGGGATACGCGAAGCGTAAAGAATTGTTTGTTCCCTTATTAACTAACGGTGCGGTCTGGATCCAGCAGTCCGTTTCCGATGCGGGCCTTGGCGGTGCAAACATGGAGCCGCTGCCCCGGCGGCACTAAAGAGCTCCACCGGCACGGCATACGCGCACGGCGCAGGCACGCGAAGGCGGCGCGAGCCGCCACTGGCTTTCACCACTCCAGCGGAGACAGATCAGTTGGAGGGGGGGGAGGGGGAGGAGGAGGAGGAGGAGGAGGAGGAGGAGGAGGAGGAGGAGGAGGAGGAGGAGGAGGAGGAGGGAGGGAGAGAAGGAGGAGGAGAGGAGGGAGAGAGGGGGGAGGCGGGGAGGAGGAGGAGGAGGAGGAGGAGGAGGAAGGAGGAGGAGGAGGAGGACGAAGAGGAGGAGGAGGAGGAGGAGGAGGAGGAGGAGGAGAGAAGAGGAAACTTCCTACAAAAAGTGATACGGGCACGGACCTCAGGACCATGTGGCGTGGGACCCTACAGTGCGGGACCCTATCAGGCAACCCAATCCTCCGCGTTTCCTCTCTCTCCACCTCCCCCCTCCACCTCCTCCAGTTCCTCCTCCTCCTCCTCCAACTCCTCCTCCTCCTCCTCTTCCTCCTCCCCCTCCTCCTTCCTCCGCCTCACACTCTCCTTGCCTCCCTCTTTCTCCCCCCCCCGCGAGAGGAGACCTCCTCCTTCACCAGATTCCTTATGTCCTTATGAACAACTGATCCTCCTCGCATTACCAGGCGTGTCAGTGGGTCGGACCGGGCGTGTCGCCTGACACGTCCTCAGTAGCAACGTCAATGCAGATTTCAAGCTTCCAACATATACAAGGGTGGAGGGCGCGTCATTTTCGAAATGACGCTATAGCTTGAGCCTGCGCCAATTCGTCGTAGTAGCTCCCAGCAGCGAAACGACCAAACGAATGGAGGGCGTGCTGCGTTCAAGTGGTGGCTCGCGCTTTAGCGCCGAACGCACTCGCTGGATAAACTTCCAATGACAGCTTGAATGGAGGGCGTCCCGTTTCCAGAAGGGGGGGCCCTGGCAATAGCCCCTCGCACATTCGCCGGATAAGACTCCCAACGTTGCGCGAATGGACGGCGTGCAGTTCTGAAACAGTGGCTCTCGTACGTAAAAAAACACTCCGAACATACCCCCTGCGAAATGCTTAAGACATCATGGGTTAAGAAATTCAGAGTCTCAGAAATGGAATCAAGCCCAGCACTTCTATCAAAAGCTTGGGCTTCACATGCAAAAGTTAAAAATCATCGAGCCTCTGGCCGAAAACTTAAGTTTTCTTAAGCATCGCCTAGGGTGTACTCCAGATTACGTAATAAAAAGGGAGGGGGTCTGGACCCTCCAAGAGAAGCCATTTCAGACCTCCCCCGTGGGAGAACCCTCCAAAACATCGTCCCCAGACCCCACCAGGCCCTCCAAGATAGCCTGGAGGAGACCCCCCCCCCCGAAATGAGACCCCCCTCCCTTTTATTACGAAATCTGGAGTATGCTCTACAACTTTACTGCGCATTTACTGCTGGCAACTATACACGGATGCAGGGCCGTTCCTTTTGTCGAGCGTGGGCGCTCGCTTTTGAGACGCCCTCGAGCCTGACGGCTCCAGCGGTTCACGACGGGTCCAGGTCCGCCGGTCTCGGTCCTGGGCCGTTTTGTTCACCACAGGGAGGCTTACTGAAGGGAGGGGAACTGGGACACACAAATAAATACACACAAATGAAAATATTCCCCATATTTTCCCATACTTTCTGGGTTTCTGTCTCCCCCCCCACTTCCCATATTTTCCCATGTTTTCTGGGAGTCGCCGATTAATTGTGTCTGTGTGTTTTTTCCCCTCCTGACTGAAAGGAGGTCTGTCCACCGCCGAGCGACCCCTCACTCGGGGCTCGGGCCTGGCTGCCGCCCGGAGAGGACGCGTGCGTCACCGAGACGGCGGCGTGCCCCGCCCACGGGCTGCGGGAGGTGGTGGCGGCCTACGCGCGCCGCACGGCGGGGCAGCTGTGGTCCGACCTGGAGGCCGCGCTCCGCAGGTCGGGGGCCGCGTTCGTCATTGCAGCATATGCGTGAGGACGGCTCCTCTCGCCAGCGGGGCTCTCGCTGCAGACCTCCAGAAGCTCCATGCCTCGAGTGCGACAGCGGCGCGACAGCGACGCGGATGGAAGGCGGCTCCCTGCCAAACCGGTTGCGTCGCTGGACACCCTGGAGGTAAGCAAGCTGGATTCGGTTTCAGTCGGCCGTGTCCCCCTACCGGGGGATTTGCGACGAAAATGAGACATATTCAGGAGGATTTACTACGAAAAATAAGACATATTCAAAACATACTCCCAAACGGTCAACACATATTTTAAACAAGTAATCCCCAGATCATTGTTGGACTATTTTTGCATGTTCATGTGAAAAACTAATCCCCTGATAATTTCTGGACCATTTTTGAATGTATTCCCCCTGTGTGAATATATTTCGATATTTTGTTTCTGGACTATTTTTGTAAGTATTCTGGACGACTTTTGACTGTATTTCTGATAATCTCTGGACAGGCCCGACTTGAGATCCGGCTCGAGGCAGCCGCCCGCCCGAGCGGCAGGCCCACGGGGCGCGCGCCGCCGGAGCTGCTCGGGGCGGCCCCGCCCCCATCGCGGCGGCAGCCCGCGGGAACACCGCCGAGGGGGGCGCGTGCGCCGCATAGCGGCGTCGCGGGGCGCCTCCCGGGCTCGCTCCTGGCCGAAGGGGCCCTGGCACACACGAATAACTACACACACAACGAAGAGCCGTCCCCACATATTTTCCCATATGTTCGGGGCTTCTGTCTTCCCCCCTCCGCTTCCCATATTATTTTCCCATATTTTCGGGGGGATCGAGGCTTCATTGTCTGTGTGTTTTTTTCCCTCCTGATTGGCTGCCCCCCCTGCCTTCCTCTCGTCTCCTCCCCGGCTTCCCCCGCCCTCTGCTCCAGGGTCCTCCCGCTCCAGTCCTCGCGCCTTGTCGTCTGGCACCAGGCCCTTCTCATCAGGGGTCAGGAAGCCATAGCCGTTGAAGCTGTAGTACGTCAGGACGGTCCCTTGGAGCAGGAGGACGAGGCGCAGGAGGATGAGAAAAAACATGTGGTTATGAGGATGACGGTGATGATGGTGATGATGGGTAGTGGTGGTGGTGGTGATGCTGATGCTCATGATGATGTGGTGATGCTGATGACAATGGCAAGAGAGCACGTGGATGGGCAAGTAATTCGGCAAATGAACAACGAGGAGGAGGAAAATTACGGGACGAAGGGGCGTCCTCCTGCTCCTCCCTCTGCTCCTCCCTCTGCTCCTCCCTCTGCTCCTCCTCCTTCTCCTTCTCCCTCCCTCCCTCTACCTGCCTCTCCATTGCTTCTTCTGACCGCACTCTTTGTACATATATAATTCAATGTATCTGTATCTGTCTCTCGGTCTTTTTCTTACATTGTCGCTCTCTCCCTCTCTCTCTCTCTCCCTCTTTGTTTTGTCTCTCTCTCTCTCTCTTCAGATGTGGACGTGCACATGTATATAGCTGTGCATGCATGCATGCATGGCTTCTCTCGGCTCGTGGGGCCCGCGTGTCCCTGCGACGACGCTCGTCAGGGGTGCAGGGGCTGATCGTGCCACGCCAACGTGCGATGAACTCCTGTCAGTCACCTCTGCGGAAGTCGACCGAGTCGACAAGGGACAAACGAACACGGCAACCAGCCCACCGAGCTGCGCACGGCCTTCCAGCGCCTGTGCGGCCAATGCGAGATCAGCTTGACAGTGGATCACCACCGAGCCAACGATCAACCACGCTGTGCAGATCAGCAAAAGCGCTCAAGCCACCGCCCCGACTCCGCCATGGAATCTGGCCCTCCACTCACGCATGGGCCTCGAGGCGGCACACTGGTCCGCCCCAGGCGTGGCTCAACCAGCGCGGGCTGCGAACAATCACGCATCCAAAAAGCAGCATCTCCCTTCGTGGCCACGCGGAGGGAGGACGGCTGCCCACCCAACCCCGCATGCAAGACCGACCACTGGCCATTGCGGTCTGGGGTCCCGACCCTGCCCACGGACCGGCACAGTCCTCCGCGTGCTGCGCCGCGGCGGTGCGGCCGCTCAGGCCGCGGGCTGCGCTCGTGGACGAGGCGGCCTTCCAATGCGGCACCACGGAGGTCGCGCACCGCCAGGACACCGCGCAGAGCACGCCCCGCCCGCCCCTCCGCGTCGCCAGCCGCGAGACGGAGGCCACCGCGGCCCTCGCCACGCTCCAGGAGCTGTTCCGCGAACACTCTCGAGCGCAGCCCGTCCACCGGGCTCGCATGCAGCCCCCATGGGGGAGGGCGCCGCCCAGCAGGTCGTTCGCGAGCGCAAAAGGTGCCAACTCCAACAACGAGGCCAAGCGTGAGCTGGACGAGGCCTTTTCTGTGATGCGCTCGAGGCCGTACTTCAACACCACTTCGCTACCGTGGCAACCCGAGAACAACACATCCGGCTCGGCCGCCACAGGCCACGGCTCGGCTGCAGTTGAGCAGAAGCTCGCGGCAGCTTCGACATCTCACCAGCGGATGCCACCACCGTCCTCACACTCTCGGTCGCGGACGGAACCACCTAAGCCTGAAAGCTCTTTAGAACCCTCCCCCCAGTAGGGGGTAACTAATAATTTGTTCGGAGGCCTTCCCACCAATAGGGGTAACTCATGATTTCCGCGGCACCCGCCGCGCAACAACGACGATGACGAGAAGGAGGAGGAGCGCACGTAACTCATGAGGGCATGGTTACGTCATCGACTGGCGCAGATGGCCAGCTTAATGGCACGCAAGAGCCTCAGGTGGGCCTCAAGGTCGCCACAACGGGAGGGCGAGGCCTCATGCTCTGCTTTGAGCTTGTGGTGGAAGTGAAAACCTAGCATGACTAGGCGATGAGTGGTCTCGCGGGTGACCTGCGGATCATAATCAGCATCGAGGCCGAGGCCGAGACGCGCCAGGGGGCATGAGGGGAGGAAGAGCCTCGGACGGGCGAGGAGGTGGAGGAGACGAGGGCAGGACAGGTAATGAGGCCAGCGATCGAGACCGTCCTCGCACCCTAACAGGCAGCGGCGCTGGCCCAGAACGGGCATACGACCTGAGGTGACCCATCCCCCTGCGAGAGTCTTGACGTGGGCCCAAGCCCAGCTGGGCTTGGACCGGGAGAGCACACCCCGGAGCAGGGCCCAACGATGGGCCATATCCCCCAACGGGGGAAGGGGCACCTCAGGGAGCCAGGCCCTCAACCTTCGAAGGAAGAGAAGGGGGAGAGCGTCGGGGAAGGCGAGGCGGGTGAGGGCCTGGGCGACGGCACGCTGGGGCCTCGGGCGGCGAGAGGCGATCGCAGCGGCGGCCAATTCCTCCGTGCCAGCAGAGACGGCATCGCGTAGCTGATCTAACCGAAGTGAATAGCGCGGCACACACTCCAGGGCCGAAGCGAGAAACTGAGCGATACTCTGTTGCCGCTGCCAACACGGAGGGCTCCATTCCTGGCGAATGTATCTGACCAGCGGCCCATGCCACACTGCAAATTCCCCTAGATCGTAAGAAAGTTCCCGAACCCTGGTGCCATAGGAGAAAGCCGCAAACCTCCATGCCGAGGCACATGCAAAAACAGCCATCGACGCTGGGCCGGGACCAGGGATCCAGGCACTCAGAGACAGCAGCTCGGATCGTTTGAACGTGTTCGGGGGATGAACAAGCCGGGGCTCCTTGGAGAAGGGGGAAGGGGGGAGGGGAAAGAACTGACAGAGGTAGGAGAGGACGGAGAGGATCGAGGAATTGTAGGAGCGGCAAGAGGCCTCCGACGGCGACCGAGTGGCTGCAAGAAGACGGGTCCGGAAACACAGTTTTGATGCCGCCGCCTCCCACTGTGCCTCGAGGGTGGCAGCAGGACCAAACAGGATGCCGAGATACTTGGCGAGGCCAGCGATGGCGAAAGAGGAGAAGGAGGGAGCGATAGCAGAGAGGAGAGCAGTGAGAGCAGAATCAACAGTGGCACAACATACGGTCCACAGTGGGACCACCACGCATTTTCGGGGCTGCAGACAGAGGCATGCCAGGCGGCGCGCAGCCGGGAACACGGGCTCAAGCCGGGCAACCTGGCTCAGACAAGGTAGAACAACACCAACATCGTCGGCACACGCCCCAGCATCCAGATGATCATCCGGCGGTTCGCTGGTGTCGATGCCCTCGGAGATGCGGTGCACGAATGCGTCGAAGCACAATACCCACAGAGTTCCGGACAGAGGGCGCCCCTGAGCAACTCCAGCAAAAACCTGGAATGAATAGCGAAGCTCGTCACCAAACCAAGCGCTGACCTGCAAGACGTGGCACAAAGCCCAGATAGCGCAAATGTAACCAGCCGGCAAAGAATGGTGGAGCAAGACGGCTGCCATCCACTGCCAATTCATGGATGGGAAAGCGGCCTGCACGTCGAACGAGATGAAGCAGGGCATGCGGTCAGCGGCATCATCGTGTCCTCCCGCCCTTCTGGCAGCGGCGTCCAAGTCCACAATGTGTGAAGTAAATTGGCGATCGCGTGGGAAACCTTTTTGTGAGCGATGGCAACGCCGTTCAGCAACATGTCGAAGGTGGGAATTGATCGTGGATGCCACGGCCTTCGAGCCGCTGTTCTTCAGAGTGAGCGGCCGCTGAACGTCAGGGGAGCGCGCCACATCCCCCAAATCCTCAGGCTGTGCGTCCTTCGGAATGAAACACATCAAAGAATGGTTGAAGCCTGGCGGCGATCCCCGGCCGCTGTAGATGTCCAATACTATCAATTACAAAGCTTCAAATGCATCCTCCTTCGCCAGCCAAGCGCGATACGGGGGGCGATTCGGACCAGATGCACTTGCCTTGCCAAGACGGCGAGCACGCCGTAGGTCAGCCTTCGACGGGAGAGGTAGCAGAGGACGTTCATAGCGAGGGAGGTGCAGAGCGAGATAAGGTGAGATATCATCAGCAGGAACAGGTTTGGCTTGGAAAACACAAGCCCAGTGATGAGACAGAGCAGCAGCCATGTCAGCAAGATCTGGAGCCACCCTGTCATCGGCAGGAGGCGGTGGGCGTACACGGTCGTCGGACTCGGGAAAAAAACGCAAATCCGTCGTAACGGCGGCGCTCGCCGTGACTGCAACACTTCCGCTCGTCCCCTCATCTCCTCCAACAGCTGCGCCGTCACCGTCCTGATCATGGCGAAGGCCTCCTGTCGTAAGGGCAGCCGGGCGCGGTCGAGCGTCAGCGTCGTCGCCAAGGCCGTCGCACTCCAAGACCGGATCCACCGTATGGCCAGCATTGTTATGCCGAGTGCCGTTCAGAATCAGCTGCTTCCTCATGGGCGCCCATAGTCGAGCGCGGCGTTGAGATGTGGCCTGCACCTTTTGCCATTGCTCACGACTGAGACCGGCGTCCTCGCGAGTGAACGGGTTGCCAGCACGGGCGCGTGCGGCAGCGAGGCGTTGTTGCTTTTGATGCCATTGCGTATTGACCGCGCAGACCAGATCTCGAAAATCCGCACCGTTGACAAGGCGAACAGACTCGCCATCAATGTGGAAAAAACGTGGACCATACGTGGAGGTGTTGATGAGGGTGGTGGCCAAGGTGAGGCCCTGCTGCCAAATCGCCCTGGCGATGCCCCGCAACGTGAGCCATCGACTGTCCTCAGCCCCTTCCGCGCGAGAGGTGATAGGGAGGCGTTGAAGGCGGTCCCGAACCACATCAGCAGCACGCACCATCAGATCTTTCGTGAGCGCCCAGCGGTCGTACGATCCCAACGCGTCCCAGTTCACGCAACACATGTACTGGTGAAGAACTTCAGGGTAATGGCGAGAACGAAAGACAAGTTCTGGGATGCCTCGTTCATGTTGAGCGCGGGGCCGACGAGGACGCAACGTCAGCGACAGGATAGCGCGGTCGCTCAAGTGCCAGTCGGCGAGCCGGGTTGCCTCCTGATGTACAGTTAGAGACGTTTCCGTTTCCAAGAGGAAGGCCGGTGAAAGCGAGACGAATGCCCTGTCGAGCGTGCTGCAAGTCTCCGTGTGACGACAGTA